ATTTTGAGGGGCGCCTGGGTGGCGCAGTCGGTTAAGCGTCCGACTTCAGCCAGGTCACGATCTCGCGGTCCGTGAGTTCGAGCCCTGCGTCGGGCTCTGGGCTGATGGCTCAGAGCCTGGAGCCTGTTTCCGATTCTGTGTCTCCCTCTCTCTCTGCCCCTCCCCCGTTCATGCTCTGTCTCTCTCTGTCCCAAAAATAAATAAAAATGTTGAAAAAAAAATTTAAATAATTTTGACCACAAAAACCTCTTGAAAGAGTCCTGTCCCCATAATACTGAATTTTCTATTAATATAAATCACACTTCAGTGTTTCAACAAAGTGGATATTAACTCTCCAATATAGTCTCACTTTCTTTTAAAAGAGTATAGACATTTTCAAACACATATTATAGTGAATAGTATAATAGACCACCATGTATCTATTACCCAGCTTCAATAACCATCAGCATCTGTTAATATTATCTAAGCCCCAACATTTTTTTTTTTTCTGGAGTATTTTAAAGTAAATCCAGACATCATACCAGTTGGTCCATAAATATTTCAGTATGATTCTGTAATGTACACGGTTTAAAAAAAAAAAAAAAAGCCAAAACACTACGTTTATTAAACCAAGGAAACAAACTGCAACCCTTTAATATTAGCTAATACTCCAGCTATGTTTAATTTTCTCCAATTGCCTCAAGAATATTTTTTTATGATTGGCTTGTTCTAATGAGATTCTAAATGAAGCCCATGCATTGTGTTTGTTGTCTCTTGTCTGCTTAATCTACAAAAGTTTCCTTTCCTTTTTTAAAGAAGTGTCATTTCTTTGTTGAGGAAATTGAATCACTTGTCCTAAAGAACTTTTCATATTCTAGATTTTATTAACAATATATTCAACGTGTCACTTAACATATTCCTCCATCTCCCTTATTTCTGGTAAACTGGTAGTTAGGTCAGAAGACCTGATTAGATTCAGGTTCAATTTTTCTTGGCAAGAATACTTTATAGGTGGTGCTGTGTACTTCTTATTGCATCACATCAGGAGCAACATAATATCTGGCTGTCCTACTTTTAGCGATGTTAAGACTGATGGTTAGATTTAAGTGAGGCCAGCCTGAATTATCACAAATTCCCCATTAATCGTCACCAAATAGTTTGAATAACTATTGATTATCACTGCTCTGTGATTTTACATTGTCTCTTTAACCGCTGAAATGAGTTGTGTGTGGAAAGGAATAGCTCAGTGAATTTAGGAGCCTAAAGAATTAACCTTAAAAGGTGACATCTCAACACAAGGAAGACCCCTCTCCTTTGGAATCCAATTTCACATATGTTTATTAAATATCTATTCAGTTCCAGACACCTAGTCTCAGCCTCTCAGAGTAAATAAACCATGGTAAATAGTTGTGCTTTCAGAACTTACAAAGAGTGTGGCCTCTGAACTGAAATCCTTGAGGCTGGGCTAGTAATCCGCAACCTCATTCCATTCCACTGTACTTTCCCGCTGTATTTGGTTCTACTCATACGGGTCTTTTTCTAGTTCCTGGAAACTACTAGGGTTCTTTTCTCCTTCAGGATTTCCATACTCCTCTAGCTACCTCCCATTTATGTGTTATGTCAGTTAGTATATCACTTCTTCAGGGATGCTTTTTCAGACTCTAGTTCTCTCTTATTTTTCTCAGAGAATTCTTGTTATTTCTTTATGTCATATGTCATTTATCACAATTTAAAATTACATATTCAAGAGTGGGATTATTTGTCCTAAGTCTGTTTCCTTCAGTAGAATGTAAGCTCCATGAGGACAGGCTGTATTGTTCACCATGGTATACTCTCACTACTTCCTACAATGCTTGGCACATAGTAGGCACTCAACAAATATTTGCTGAATGAAAGGAGTAGCAGTAGCTGGCATACTCCCCTAGGCAACCAGCTGGCCTAGTTTCTGCCATCCCTTTGCTATCCCAGAATGACTCAGGCTCCAATTCAGCCCACCACCCAGAGCAACTGTTCAGGGAAACAAGCACATCCACCATTGGGAGGGGAATTAAGGGCCCTCCCAGAGACTCTGAAAAGAAATTATATTTACCTTGGGGGTCTTGAGCACAAACTTCTGTTTCCCTTCATCAGGGCCCAGCTGTGCCTTCAGTTTTAGTAGTTTTGCCACTTCCTCCTCAATCTGTGGGGGTAAAGCAGGGGCTGGTCTATCACTCTGACACTCCCTTCCCTCTTCAGCCATTCATTCAGTATCCCTCCCTCATCAGAATCTAGCTCTCCAGGCCCAGCTTTCCTTCCCTCTTCCTACCCCGGCCACCTCCCCAACCAGGCCCTGCTCCTCTCCACCAGTCGGGTCTCTTTTCCCACATCTTTTTCCTCTATGCAGACCACCCAGCTCTATGTCCTCCCTGGCCCTAATTTGGCTTCTCCCCGCCACCTGGGTCGCACCTGCTCAGCGCTGGCCTTCTGCTGCTTGAGGCCCCGCACGCGCTCTCCCTGAAGTCGCACTAGCTCTTCCAGTGCTGCACGTTCTGCCATACTTAACGCCAACTAGTGCTGACTGCTGTCTAGATCGTCTGGGCTTTCCGCAGCCTCAACTCGGATAACTTCCGGCTATCGAGTCACTGGCCCACACGCCTAGAGAGCCTCCGCCGAGCACAAAATCACTTCCGGCTACTACCGGAAGTACGGAAACTGGGCGTGCGCCTGGGAGGTCCGGGGCCAGCCAGTAGGGTTTGGAAGGTGCGGAAGTATTCTCTTTTCCAGGGTGCTAGGGCTATCTTCTGCAGCGCTCTGCACCCTTACTGGGTCCGACCTGCTTCGTTCCCAGGTTTTGGCGCCTGTCTCGGAAAAGGGCTTTCTTGCTACACGATGCCCCCGTTCGGATTCCTGCACATGAGGGCTTGGGCTTCACTGTTTGGCCAGCTTCTGTGGTCGCCCCGTGCTGTGTGCATCAGGGAGGTCCATTTTCATAGCCAGGTGAGCCAGGCTGAGTGGTCTGTCGGGGCAGGATCTCCAGATCCGGAGCAGGGATTCGCGGCCTGCACTCCATTAGTATTGTCAGGGTTTTTTGAGTAGTTTAGGGGTACTAAGCTAAGCGTTTTAGATGCTTTGTCATTTAATCCTCATAGCAGTCTTGAGAGGTTGTGATTATTTCCATTTTATTGTTGAGGAAACAGTAAGCTAGGTTAAATGATTTATCTACGGATACGTTTATAATATAGGTCCACAATCCCTTATGTGAACCTCTTGGGGTCAAACACATTATTTTTTTAATTTATTTATTAACGTTTATTCATTTTCTGGGAGACAGAGAGAGACAGAGCATGAGCGGGAAAGGGGCAGAGAGAGGGAGACACAGAATCTGAAGCAGACTCCAGGCTCTGAGCTGTCCGCACAGAGGCCGATGCGGCGCTCAAACTCACGAACTGAGAGATCATGACCTGAGCCGAAGCCGTTCAACCGACTGAGCCACCCAAGCGCCCCAGAGTCAAACACATTCTTAAGCAAAGTATATGAATATTCCCATTAAATGAGATGACTGAAGCCCATAAGTGGGCTGAGTTCACATTAGAATTTACCTCAAAATGAGCAATGCCCATCCCTCCAAAAACAAACAAAACAAAACAAAAAAACATTTTCGGTTTTTAGAGGTTTTAGGATTTTGGAATTGCAGAGGAAGGATTGTGAACTGTCATCCTTTGGAGGAGAGAATCCGCCAAAATATGGAACTCTCACACCCTCTATATTTCAGAAAGGAGCATACAGCCTTCTGCTAATAAAGAAACTACCGAATCTGTTTTACTCTGTCAAACACCCTAGCAGAGGCTTTCCTATCATAAATAACAGGGTTCAGATCTTATTATTAATTTTCAGTCACAGCATCCTACCAATCTGGCTTTTTTTAGTTCAATTTGGATATCCATTCCTGTTCATTCCATGGGCATGCTCTGTGTTTTGGGCTGGTTCTTTTCTGTCTTCAGGTTGCTTTTTCCATGTCTCTAAGCCTAATGACTACTGCTATCTTATTAAAAATTTATGGTTTTGCTCTTTGAGTAGGAATTGACAATTGTAGATCATACTAATCCCTACTCCTGGATGGTTGGCGGTGGCAGTGGTGGGTTGTTTTGTGCCTTCATTGTTCTCAGGTGCTTAAGCTTTTTCAGATGTTTAATATCTCCAAATGTAGTGAATACATTTAAAAACAACAACTATGATAAAGACCTGATCTCATATGTATTACATATATAATGCACATACAACATATGTTTTAGAGTGACGCTGAGATTGGAGTAGATAAAACATTGTTCAGTCTGCCTGTTGCTCAGGGCCAAATGTCTTTGTAGGTCTGGACATAGGGCCAGAAGTGTCACAGGTCTGGACAGTCTTGAAAGGAGCACACCTCACATTCCTTTTTCTGACAGTTTGCAGAGGCAGTGTTAACATCCCAACTGAAACCACAACAAGAGAAATCAAATTTTATCATCAAGACCCCAAAGGTAATGCCCTTTTCCCTACCCTGTCCTATTAGGGTTCCTTGGAGCACTGCCCTCAGTTCTTCCCTCTGCTTGTCTCTTCCCTAATCCCTTTTAATGTCTTTTTAGACAAATCAAAAAAAAAAAAAATTCCCTATTCTTTTCTTTTTTTTTTTTTTTTTTAACGTTTATTTATTTTTGAGACAGAGAGAGACAGAGCATGAACGGGGGAGGGGCAGAGAGAGAGGAGACACAGAATCTGGACAGGCTCAGGCTCTGCTGCTCGTCAGCACAGAGCATCGTGCTCGAACTCACGGACCGTGAGATCATGACCTGAGCCGAAGTTGGACGCTTAACCGACTGAGCCACCCAGGCGCCCCAAAAATTCCCTATTCTTGAGATATTTATGAGGATCATTCATCTGAATTCAAAGAGATTTCAACTTCAGACCTTCGATTATAGATGTTGTTTAACTCTTTGTCTTAAATGGACTTGTTTTTTGTCTTTGTTTTGGCCATGGCTCCTATTGGTTTCTAGGGCACCAGAGATCTTAGTCCCCAGCAGATGGTTGTGAGGGAGAAAATTCTTGATATGGTTGTTGGCTGCTTTAAACGTCATGGAGCAAAGAGGTTAGATACTCCCGCATTTGAGCTAAAGGTAAGAAGGAAAAACTTTTGGGACTCCATTTTTTCACCTGTCTTCAGTTTTTGAAAGAACTTTTAGCCTGTGTTTTGGAGTCCTTTGAACTGTGGCATTTTTTGTTTGATCCCTGCAGGAAATGCTCACTGAGAAGTATGGAGAGGACTCTGGGCTCATCTATGATCTGAAGGATCAGGGTGGAGAGCTGTTGTCCCTGCGCTATGACCTTACTGTATCTTTCTAAGTGTTGGAGACTGACATCTCTTTCCAAACCCAGACGACTTTCTTTGACAAAAGGGACAAAAGTGCCTCTGGGCCCCCTATGTCTATTTGCAGCAGCCTTTACTTCTAGTTCCTCCCAGAAAGCAATTCTGCCAGCAGAGCCTGGCCTGGAGTGTTGTCATTTAACTTCATTATGTATCAGAAACTCTTGTGGAAGCCTGGAGAAATACAGATTTCTGGCCCTTACCCCCAGATATTCTTAATTCTATAGCTGGAGTGGGGCTCAGCAATGTACATTGCAAACAGGCGTCTGGGGTCATGAAGGGGCAGGTGGTTCTTGACCTCTATTTTAAAAAACATCGACATAGTTGCAAGGAAATCCAGGTTCTGAAAACTTGACTATTTTGAAATGGTTGAGAATTGATCTGAATAGGAAGTAATAGCCCATACTTGGAAGTTCTTGGAGCATTTCTGTTTCATTCAGTGGCCAGTAGGCCAGCTTCCCCTGCTTTTTACTGAACTTGCACTTTTGCTTGGAGAGATTCCTTCATTCCTTTATATATATTGAATGTCAAGCACTGTTAGGCATTGGGAATAGTGGGAAACAAGACAGAGAAGGTCCTTGTTTTCATCCTAGTGGATGAGATCCAGTTGATAATGGCCCATTCCTCTCAAATGTCTACACACTGGGCCTAAGCTTTGGATGTAGTATCCTTTCTCCTTAACTTATTTATGTGAGGTCCCTTTTGCTCGTTATCTGGCCATGAATAAGGTGAAGAAGATGAAACGTTACCATGTTGGAAAAGTGTGGCGGCGGGAGAGCCCAACCATAGTCCAAGGCCGCTACAGGGAGTTCTGCCAGTGTGTAAGTGACCTGATGGGGGCAGCATGGTTTGATAGTTTGGGAGGCTACAACCTGAGAACTGGCTACTCAGTGAAGATTTTTTTCCCCCATCTTTTTTGTTGTTGTAGGATTTTGACATTGCTGGTCAGTTTGATCCTATGATCCCTGACGCAGAGTGTTTGAAGATCATGTGTGAAATTCTTAGTGGATTGCAGCTGGGGGACTTCATCATTAAGGTGAGACCAGGGCTAAGGACTGAGGGGAAAAATCTGGATTTGGCCTGATTATGTCCTAAAACATAGGTGACCCCAGCCTTTAATCCTATAGATCTGGCATTTTCTCAGAACAGTTATTTAATTTTATCTATATCTATATAGTCATCCTATGAAATTTTTTTCTGTCATTTTTATGAGACAGGCTAGTAGGGACTGCCATTGTTTTGAGGGAAAGGGCATTGACGAGGCACTTGTGTTACTTCCACTGAGTTCCCAGGTCAATGATCGGCGGATTTTGGATGGGATGTTTGCTGTCTGCGGTGTTCCTGAAAGCAAGTTCCATGCCATCTGCTCCTCGATAGACAAACTAGACAAGGTAACAAAAAAGACATGTTTTAGTAGACCATATCCGAGTCTCTGCCCTGCCCTCAAATCTATACCCCTGTCGCTGGATTTCCTGAGCTGCCTCTGACTTTGCTGAGTATAATGTTAGGTACTCATGACATTTCCAGTTAGATAAAGAAGGATTTTGGAACTGGGCTAATATTTGGGTGTTTGCACAGATATCTTGGAAAGATGTGAGACATGAGATGGTGGCAAAGAAAGGCCTGGCTCCTGAAGTGGCTGATAGAATTGGGGACTATGTTCAATGTCATGGTAAGAACCAGGGTTTTGTGGGCTATGTGATAGAAGTGGAGTGAGGGTGATGGGTGTACAAACTTCTGCCTCTGAAACAGCTCCTTTCTGAAGATGTGTGACATCAGAACCTGGCCTGAATTTAATTTCACTTTTACTTAGTGTAACCACTTTGTGTCCTCAGATGGCAAAAGCAGAGGTGAGTCTGGTCATAAGACATCAGGATTTTTTTTTTTTTTTAATTTTTTTTTTAATGTTTATTTATTTTTGAGGTTTTTTTTTTGTTTTTTGTTTTTTTTTAATAAGAAAATGAAGAGGAGTAGGAGCACCTGGGTTGCTCATTCGGTTAAGTGTCTGACTCCTGATTTTGGTTCAGGTCATGATCTCATGAGTCATGGGATCGAGCCCTGAGTTGGGCTGTGCACTGACTCAGCAGAGCTTACTTGGGATTCTCTCTCTCCCTCTCTATCTGCCCCTCCCCCACTGGCCCACTTCTGCATGCATTTGTGAGAGCTTACTCTCTCTTTCTCTCTCAAAACAAGTAAATAAACATTAAAAAATAAAGTAAGGAGGACTGGCTGGAACAAATTAGGAATAAATTTGGATAAAACAAATCTGGGTGAATAGCACAGACCTTATTTCTCCCCATATGTCTCCCTAGGTGGGGTTTCCTTGATAGAGCAAATGTTCCAGGATCCTAGACTATCACAGAACAAGCAGGCTCTAGATGGCCTGGGGGACTTGAAGCTGCTATTTGAATACCTGACTTTATTTGGAATTGCTGAGAAGGTAAGCTGAGTTGGCAGTGGACCTTTTGCTGAGCTTTGGGGCTCTCAGGGTCCTGAGTGTTTTCTGGGACTTACTATAGCCTTGTTCCCACAGATCTCTTTTGACCTAAGCCTAGCTCGGGGCCTGGACTACTATACTGGAGTAATTTATGAAGCAGTGCTACTACAGACCCCGGCTCAGGCTCAGGAGTCCTTCAATGTGGGCAGTGTGGCTGCTGGTGGACGCTATGATAAGCTGGTGGGCATGTTTGACCCCAAGGGCCACAAGGTGCCGTGTGTGGGACTCAGTATTGGGGTAGAGCGAATCTTCTCTATTGTGGAGCAGAGGATGAAGGTAGGTCTTAGGTTGGGGTGGAGTGGGGCTAGAGACTTAAACTCATGTTTTTGGATATACAGTGGGACTGTTTTTCTGATGATTCTTTTTGTCCTTTTTTTTTTTTTTTTTTTTTTTAAGTTTCTGATGCACAGGAAGTTTTGGCTTTTTTTTTTTTATTAGTTTTATGTTTTTCCTTTCTCTTTAATCAGACTTTTGGTCAGAAGATACGGACTACAGAGACCCAAGTGTTTGTGGCCACACCACAGAAGAACTTTCTTCATGAACGGTTGAAGCTAATTGCAGAACTTTGGGATGCTGGGATCAAGGTATGATAAATCTGATATCCAGGTCATCTAGGTATATGTGGACATTCAGGTGGCCATTTCTACCTTATGCAAGGTGGAACTTAAGAAATTTCTGGTCTTCACTAAAGTGTCTTCTAGTAGAAGGGTTAGGTACTTATTTCTTTGGCAATGCTTGTTCCTGGGGTTGAGTAGTGTGGTTATTCCTCAGCCCCTTACTCTGTCTTCACTGTTTTCAGGCAGAGCTGCTGTATAAAAACAACCCTAAACTACTAACGCAACTGCACTACTGTGAGGACATGGGCATTCCACTGGTGGTCATTATTGGTGAGCAAGAAATGAAAGAAGGGATAATCAAGCTTCGTTCAGTGGCCAGCAGGGAGGAGGTGAGTGGGGGAAATGGAAGGCACCAAGGGTTTCTATCTTTCTTAGATTCTTTTTTGTTTTTGTTTTTAATGTTTAATTATTTTGAGAGAGAGAGAGAGAGAGAGCATACTTTGCAAGTGGGTGAGCAAGGGAGGGGTAGAGAGAGAATCCCAAGGAGGCTTCACACTGTCAACATAGAGCCCAGTGCAGAGCTCAACCTCACAGACTGTGAGATCATGACCTGAGCCTAAATCAAGAGTCAGATGCTTAAATGACTGAGCTACTCAAGGTCCCCTAAAGATTTTATTTCTTCAGTAATCTCAGCACCCATCATGGGGCTCAAACTCAGAACTCCAAGATTAAGAGTCACATGCTCTATTCACTGAACGAGACAGGTGCCCCAGGTGTTAGAATCTCTTGAGGGCATACATTGCCCATTCCAGCTTGAAGCCCATACTTCTCCCTGTTGGTTGCATAAGTAGTGGGAGCAGATGCAGAGTAAAACGCATGTGGAAAAGCAGTGACTAAGAATCTAGTATCACTCTATAGTTTGTCACATGAAGGTTCTTTTATGTTACAGGTGGCTATTAAACGGGAAAATCTTGTGGCTGAAATTCAGAAGCGACTATCTGAGTCTTGACTCTTGCCTGATTGCCATCTGCTGCTCTTTCTAGAAAATGTTTCTTCTAGAACTGAGTTGCTGATGGACTTCACAACTGCTGGCCAGGATGGGTAACAAGTTCCTCTGCCTTCTCCATCCTTTCTGGGTACAGAACTGTGGAAGGCCCTCAGGACTCCTGGGCTAGTGCAAGCAGCTATTCTGCATGGGTGCAGATGGCTGGTATGTGAAAGAGACATGCTCTAACTGCAGAGGCAGAATTGAAGTGCCATTGAATGCTACCAATAGGTACTGAGATGGTTGCTTTTAGCAAAGCTCTAGGAAAGTTGCCTAAGGCTGAGACCATTGAGACCAAAAGTCAGAATCTTAGCCTTCTACTGTGGCTTCTGAACCAGATTCTGGGGAATTTGTCCACAATCTGCCCTTGGCCTGTCCAGGGAGTTTTGGAAGACAGCAAAGAAGGGGGAACAGCTACTTTCTCTTTTGTTTGAGGACAGAGATGCTATCCTGAGGGCAAAGTAGTGCTCATATTGATATGGCATGTCTCTAGCCCATCCACATAGAGTGAGGCTGTCTGTTTAGTAATTTTGAATGTTGAATTTAATAGGTGACTTGATGCAATGGTCTAATCTTTTGAGATTTTGGAGACCATTTCCTGTGCCAGAATTACTACTCTGACTTTATTCCATTATTCTCCTATGGAGGTGACCTTTCTAGAAGTGATTGGATAATGTATTAAATAAAATATTAAATGAAGTAGCTTGGGTGATTTGTCATCAAGAGATTGGTTTGCATAGACCATAGAAAATGCTTGAGTGTACACTAGAGAATTCTGAGAGCTGGGAGCAACCTCCCTGGGGTGATGCTTCTGTATTCAGTGAATGGAGCAGTCACAGTTCCCGACTGCTGCCCATTAACCCCTCAACTCCCAACTCAACACATAGTGAGTCATCTGTCAGAGTTCTTCACCCTACAGAGTTGCTGATGACTGGCCTTTCCAAGTCCAATCATGTTAATTAAATTGTGCCCTATAGATTGAAAGACTGTAAGATTCCTCAGTTTAAGGAAAAATGAGTTAACCAAAGGGTGTTAGCGTTGCTTCAAAACAAGGAGAGAGTGTGCAAAAAGAATTTTGTATTTGTGCGTTGGGAAGGCTGCAATCTTTAAAAACACTGTGGTGTCAGGACCGTATCTTTCGTGCATACAGGTAAATGGGACACCTAGAACTCCTGATAACCGATTCAGCCTTAACGAAAACTGAGAAACTCTTGGCAAACGCACGCAAAATTGCTTAGATCAGAGGGCGCTGATCTGGACCGTTGCCTCGTTTGTAAAATAGACGAGTCGAACTAAATCAGCCCTTCAACGCACGTTTTGAAAGCCTGGGAAAAGAAACGTTTGTACGCACCCTTACTTCCGTGTTGCTTCAAACCCCCCCCCCCTGCGCATGCGTCATTTTCTTGGGTCAGAGGAGGGGCCAACAAGCTTGTTTAAGAAGCCCTCCAGTCCTTAGCTCGTTCAGAACACGAGACTCTAAGCTTATTGGAGGGCAAGCCTGCTTTACGGCTCAAGGCCGCTTTTTACGTCATTTTCCGGCTTCCCATTCACTTCGCAGTGAAGATGGCGTCCGGCAGCGGGGTAGGTGTTGTGTGTGTGTGGAGGCTTTGGTCGGGCGGGGGGCAGAGGGTGGCTTCTCAGTGCGGAATATCCTGCAGCCGGCTGGCTTCTCGACACCTCCTTGTGGTGTAATGGCCCGGATTCAAGAGCTTCCCCGTGGGGCTCTGGTTCAGGGTTTGTGGAATCGCGGAGGTCTCTTGGGTTTGGGTTCTGAGGCTACCTTAGTCTGGTGTGGTCCGGAGAGTCTTCGCTCTCCACAGGTCCGCGGGACGCCGTGCCGCGTAGACGCGGGTCTTTCCATTTCTCTAGGGGTCGGACGTGATTAGCGACGAATCTTGAGCGCTTTTTTCTCTACAGACGAAAAACTTGGACTTTCGCCGAAAGTGGGACAAAGATGAATATGAGAAGCTTGCCGAGAAGAGGCTCACGGAAGAGAGAGAAAAGAAGGATGGTGCGTGCCTGCTCCGTCAAGGGCTGTGGGTATAGTAGAGGCGAAGCCATAGCTGGGAGCCGGTGGGGAGTTGAAATGCATTGACCTTTTACGCCGTGTAACCTCTGGCAGAGCGTTGCCTCCCTGCCCCTTGAGTTCTTAATGTATAAAATGAGAGCAAGAAGAAGGACTGAAGCGGTTTTGAGGTGTTTTCCCTTCTGTTTCTTCTACTTCCTTGCTCTCCTTTTGCTTGGCTCATTTCGTACTTTCCTGAAGTACAGATAAGAGAGTGGAATCCTTAGCAGTGACAGAAAAGAAGTGGAGTATTTTGTTGCTGTGCATTCTGCTATTGAGGCTGGCTTCTTTCCCTTGAAGTCACTTAAGGGGAAGAAGAACTGGCTCAGTTAAGACCTTTCCCTGTAGTCTGAGAAGAGCAAGGGTACTACTAAGGAGTGTGTGATTTTTATTTTTTTTTTTTTAAGCTGATGCTCAGTAGTACTGCTCCCTATGTACAGTGTTGGGAGTTGGTGCTCCTCTCCTAGATAGAGATTCCACTGTACAAAAATAAATGTCTTATTTTCTGTTTTCAAACGTATACATTCTTCTTTCAGTTTAGTTTCACACCATCTTGTACACACTAACCCTTTTAGTTTTTATGTAATTTGTACAGTAGTGCCAGCCACATAACAGGTATTTCCTGAATATTGATCTTTAAAAATTTTCCCCAGCCCTGTGAAGATTCTTTTCTGTGTTAATGCTTGGGGTATCTGTCTGAAAGTGTCTTTGCTCTTTTAAAAGTTCGCTTTTTGTGAAAATTCAGAACTCCTCCTTTCAATTCAGTTAATCAATAAAAAAACTTTGCTTTTAGACTTGTTGGCTTTAAAGTGGGTAAAAGCTGTACATAGTTTAGGGACTGCTTATCATTTTTCCTGTGTCGAGATTCTGTCTTGGTGCTGCTAGAAGTGCTCCTTGTGTCCCTGGCTTTGGGTTCAAGAAAGAAATGAGAGTAGACACCTGTATTTTGGGTATCATGCATTTCTTTTCCTTTCTGGTTCAAGAACTGAAGTATTGAAGAAACTTTCTCCTCTATTATACTTTAGGAAAACCAGTGCAGCCAGTCAAAAGGGAGCTCCTCCGACATAGAGACTACAAGGTGGACCTGGAATCCAAGCTTGGGAAGACAATTGTCATTACTAAGACCACACCACAATCAGAGATGGGAGGGTGAGTGACTTTTCATCTTTCTCAGGAGCCAGGAATAGGTATAATAAACTCTGTGTTGCTTTTAGCAGGTGTTGAGGAGGTTCCCTGGCCCCAGGATAACAACCTTGTTGCCTACAATTCTACCTTTAAGTTTGTTTTTCTTTGTTCCCCCAAGGTCTCAACTAAACATAATAGTGTCTCTAGGAGGAGTCACTCGGTAGGCTTATTCATACTAGTACTGTAAGTGCTACTTAATATTTTAAAGAAGAAATGAGGAAAAGAACTACTGAAGAGATATTTAGGGGAGAGATTAGGTGGAGATAGAATGGAGCCTAGGAGCTGTTGAATAAAGGGAGTTGAGGTTCCAGACTGGCTGCAGAGGCTGTAGTTGTTATGGATTGCTTGGTTATACACCTTCTTCCTGACTACCTGCCTCCCATGGTAAGAAGTGTCCTACAACAACTCTTTATTCTTTTGCCCACCACTACTACTTCCATGTTCACTTAGTCTTTCTAGCAGGAGGGCAAAACAGATAGCAATGAATGACATGTCTGAGTTGCTTAGAAAATCCACTAACGTCATTCCTCTTTGTATTCGTTCTCTCTTGCTTTGTAAGTTAACAAATCCAAAATTTAGCATCATGAAATAACAAATAGCTCACAATTTCTGTGTCTCAATAATCTGGGAAAGGCTTAGTGAGGTGGTTCTGGCTCAGGGTTTCACAAAGTTACAGTATAGGTGTCTGGTGGGTCTGCCTTCATCTGAGGTGTAAGTGGAGCTGAATCATTTGATTGAAGGCTTTTTCACGTGGCAGTGCTTTAGAGACCTCAGTTCTTTGCCCCATGGGCTTCTCCATAGTGCTGCTCCATAGTGGCTTCCCCAGAGTAAGACACGGACAGACAAAGACAGAAGCCACTTTTTTTTTAATAACCTTATTTTGTAAGTGACATAGCATCACTTTTGACATATTCTTTTAGTCACAGACTAACCCTAGTACAAATTGGGAGGGGACTACACAAGGTAGGAATACCAGGAATTTTGGCGTCATGGAGGTTGGCTACCATATTCTTCCAAGAGATAAAGCTTTATGAAAGTCAGACGTGCCTTCTTGTAAAAAGAAAATTTACCTAAAAAATAGGAGTTTCTTGGCTGAAAACATTAAGATCCTTATAGCTAGTGGGGCGCCTGGGTGGCTCAGTCGGTTGAGCATCCGACTTCGGCTCAGGTCACGATCTCGCAGTCTGTGAGTTCGAGCCCCGCGTTGGGCTCTGGGCTGATGGCTCAGAGCCTGGAGCCTGCTTCCAATTCTGTGTCTCCCTCTCTCTCTCTGCCCCTCCCCTGTTCGTGCTCTGTCTCTCTCTGTCCCAAAAATAAATAAACATAAAAAAAAAAAAAATTAAAAAAAAAAGATCCTTATAGCTAGATTTGACCACAAGTGCTATTTATTCTGTTTGCTAGGTATTACTGCAATGTCTGTGACTGTGTTGTGAAGGACTCCATCAACTTCCTGGATCACATTAATGGAAAGAAACGTAAGGCTTGGAGGTAGTTTATGCTTAGGGCTGGGTTTGGGGAAAGGGTAGTTTCTGTTGGATCTTTTTTTAATGCCTGAGAAATACTCTAATTGCTTCAGTACAGGGCATCCTTTACTTCATTATCTAATGTTTCTGGAGGCCCTGGATGAGACACTGTTTCAAGCTTTCAACAAGAAGACCATGGTCTTTTCCATGGCCTAGCTGTCCCCACTGGTATGCATTTGCTCAGTAAAGGC